ACCGAACGCACATCTTACAGTTCGACTGTTCATATCGATGATATCTACCATGTGCTCCACAACAGAGTGACGCTGGGACGGTGACTTGCGCTTGATTATAATGAAAGTAGACCTATGCATTATCTAACTCACTTTCTTTGTCTTCACTCGTCCACCTGGACCTGGTGTGAAGACATAGTTAAGAGGACCGGAAACGACAATGCACATCTATAGGCACCTTACTTGTCAGGACCGGCTCATGCGTCTGGTCAAAACCTCAATTTGATCGCATCACGACATCAGTATCGCACTCCCTTCCTACTTGCGGGCAATGCTTCATCCTTTGCTCCCCATGGGGCGGGCCAGCTTCTGCGCTGCACACAGTTTTCCCTCGTCGTAGTAACAGCCCTTCGTTGGTATCGAACACCCTAACCACCAACCTCAGGCTTCCGTGTGTGCTCGCGTTGCGTCATCAACCAGCAGCGTAGTCGCTACTGGCTCTCATTGGCTTAGTGCTCCAGAGTGCGTTGATTGGTCCACGTCTGTGCATCTGGCATCTGTGTCTCCAGCGCCATTCCGAGTCCACTGCAGTGTCGCCGCTCTGTCATGAAAACGGAGCCATCCATCTGTGACGGTTGTAACCAGCAAACGGAAGAGGGAAAAGATCTGCCCTGCAAACACTTCCTTTGCACCGCCTGTGTTGATCCAGAATTAAAAAAGGCCAAACCCCAATGCACCAAATGCAAGAAGGAATTCACAAAAGAGCAGGCGGCACCACATAGTCTCATCTGTTTGGACATTACTTGCGAGGGGGCCCCTGGCTGCAAAAAGATGCACCTCACGGATATTGACTTGGGCGAGGGCAGCACGGAAGGTGCGAAGGCGAGCGCGAAGAGCTAGACCAATGCGACTTCTTGTTATTCCTACGTACTTGTTGGATGCCTACTAAACCCCTTTAACCCGCTTTTTTTGCTTGATTGAATTCTTACCTACTCTGATGCATTTGATACGCCAGTTTTATGTGTGTATTTGTTCAGATTTGGAAAAAAATACAGTTATGTCAGGTTAGCATACTGGGAGTTTCATAATATATATCTTGGTGGCGTCAATTTTATCGGTTGTAGAGGACGAGAAAGGCATGATGATTTTGCAATTTGATTGTGTGTCAATAACCACCGTGTCTAGGTAATCGCTTTTGCAACCGTTGGTTCTTTGGAAACCTGTCACAAGCTGTCACAGATTCTGTGGAACACGAATTGTCGCTGATTGGGTGTATGCGTGTGTTTGGCAACCAAAAACGCCACACTTTCCTCCGAAACAAACTTAGGAATAATTAAACCGAAAATGCCCTGGGTGATATCAGTTGAAGTAATTTAGATGACATCTTTGTATGACTAATATAGTGTAGGCGGGGGGTGGGACATTGCCGGCAAAGACAGGGGACACTGGGATGGCCATTTCTGTCTCATTAGCCCTTATCAGCGCCAACAGTTCCCAACCCCAGGTAGTGCACCACGCAGAGGCCCGAATCCGTGACCTGTTAGCGAGAGGTCCAACGCGCTAACCCACTGAGCCACGTTGAATTCGGGTAACGAACTAGTTAATCTAACGAGGTGGGAAATTTGTAATTCTGTTTATTAATGGAGAAAAGAATGCAGCCTCAAACAGGGGAAACTGAGATGGTCGTTTCTGGCTCAGTAGCAGTCGTCAGTCGGCCATAACCAACCTAAGTTCTGGAACGACCACTCCTAACCACCATCAGCCAGTTATAGCCGACCCCAGGGGTGGCAGCTCCCGAGGTTCGAACCCGCGACCTTGTTAGTTAGAAGTCCAACGTTCTAACCACTGCGCCACGCGCTTATTGCCCTGCCAGTTTTGGTCGGAAATATATACTATGGTAGATAGGTGTTCACCAATGGGTTAAAGGACGCACTCGTGCCATTGTGCCTGAGGGTTTGCTCTCGAACGCCGCCAGAAGCCGCTCAAATGCCCAGATTGTAGGGGTATAAACACATTACTGGCAAATACAAGGGCGCCTGGAATGGCCATTTCTGGCTTATGCACTGTCGTCAACCGACCATGAACTCACGCACCCACTGTCCTGCCTGATGCAATCGGGT